TTGTTGGGGAAGGCATTTTGGTTCATTAGCTTCGATGTTGAAGTTGGCTTTGCATCTAGCAATCATTGGTGATGATTGATTATCATCTAGGGTAGTTGATTGTCCTTATCACAAGTTTTGCTTGATTATTGTTGGTTTGGAATTATTTTGCTATTCTTCGGGATGGTAGATTCTTTCTTCAACGATGATTATACATCACTACATTGATGGGCTAATTGACGATCTTTCATGATAGTTGGTTGTTCTCTTTGATGGCTTTTGGCTTTTCGCAATACCACATGTTCTTTGTGGTTTGCTCTGGATTGGTCTCTTGGGTTTGAGATGTCAGTAGGATGTTGCTGACACTTGCTTAGGCAACTTGAGTTCCTTGGTATTGTTGGCTGGGATATATTCAGATTGGCTTTTGTGATAGTTGGCAGGCATGAATGTTTGTTGGTTTTACCACATTCATTGTCTTTTGTTGATTGTTGCTCGAGTTAGTTTTGATAGATTTGGATGTTATTTCCTTTGGGTGATACATTCGTGAGCATTGTGCTTGTTAGTCAATGATACTTTGTGTTCTTTGAGTTCTCTCTAGTAAGTTGTTGGCTTACTGTCTACTCTCTTCGATAGTTAAGTTTCATCATTGAGTTTCCTTGATGATATACTAGCTATTGACTTTTGTTGGATGGTCATTCCTATGTTTGCCAAATTATGATGATCTTGGTGGTTCCTATCTACTATAATACTAGTTTATCAGATGATAACTTACTTGGAATACTTTTGTGTTCTAATCTAAGATATATTCACTGATATTTAAGACTCTCGGATATCATTGTCTCTGACTTTGATATTGTCCATCTATTAATCTTTGAGTTTGGGCCAGTATAGGCAGACTGGCTTCGGCACTTCGTGTGCATGTTGAAATCTCTAGTCATGGGGTAGCTACTGTCGACTGGTCACATAACCCGCCTCTCTGTCGATGTTCCTTATTCCGTGAAAGGGCGTGACCGTGTAAACAACTCTACACTGCCTATTGACAGTAGTCTATCTAAACCTTACCGACGGGTTTGGTTTCTTTGCTCAGGAGGGTTGGGGCCTCTGGCTTTTCTCTCTATGTCCTTGCGGGTAGGGGCATATCACACTTTTGTAGCTGGGTGACACCCAGAGCAGCAAGGGTGGCTGACTCCGTTGGTCATTTCCTTGTCGGTGACGGCCGGAAGGTGTCTGAGCTGGTAGCGCATCCGCGTTAGACAAAGAGGTTGCCTCCTAACTCATTTAAGTTGGTGCATTTCTCACATAGTGTGAGTACCGTGAACTTTTTCTGGAGTTGTTTCTTTGGCGGTATTCTAGACTCGAGTGTGCATCGACGAGGACGTCGATCTTCTCTAGGGGGGGAGAGTGTCGCGAATGTAACTTCGGGTATCGAAAGTTACCTGTCGACTAGTCCTTACGGACACTCTTACCTTACTGCCACGATGGCAGGAGGTCGGTATTGCTGGACCCTTTATTAGTCCCTCTTGTTCAAGTGTTAGTAAACTGGGCTTAGCACCTGTACTTAGCCAGATGGACATAAGGTAGGAACTCCTATGTGTTTCTAGCTGAGCATACTCGGCCTGGCTTTTAGTTCTCTTTTGCTCTGTCTTGCATTAGCTTGACAAGAACCCTCGCGTATTGAGATTAGTCCCTCAATATTGCTACATGATAGCTTACCGTGTCTGCCAAACACCCTCGCTATCATGCCCTTTGTGTTAATCTCATTTCGGTCCCAAATGCTATTTATGGAAAGTGTCCAGATTTGCTCATTTGGCATATCTACGGAATGTAGAGATCGGCTTGAACACGATGGTGTTCGTCCCGTGTCCAAATTCGCAATCTAAGGACATTCCATATTTAGTAAGTTTCGAGTTTGTCCCAGAGACTAACTCCTGATACTAAGGGAGGCTTGG